GTGTGGGTTGGGGGTGGGGGTGGGGGTGTGGGGGTGGGTGGGGGTGTGGGTGGGGGGGTGGGGGGGGGGGGTGGGGTGTGGGTGTGGGTGTGGGTGTGGGTGTGGGGTGTGGGTGTGGGCGTGGATGTGCGTGCACATGTGGCTGTATATGTGAAAGTGATGATTCACACGCACACCCACAGCCACACCGACACCGACACCCACACCCACACCCACACCCACACCCACAGCCACACCCACACCCACACCCTACTGTCGAATATTCGTCTCCAGAAAATTTTGGTGAATTTTATTTACGAGTTAAACATAATTTGTCTAAAAAAATTTCTAATTTAGATAAAATATTGTGAAAATTTACACATTTATCCTACTTGAATATTTATCAAGTTTTGATACGATCACCACATATAACAAAAGCTATATTTTTACTGTTATCATTGACACATTTAATCATTAATTTAATCGAAACAGTTAGTTTCGATTTTTACATATGATGCTATTCAACCGTTGAATGCACTTGAATATTTAGAAATCGATTGTTGTTACATGATGAATTTGTTGGAATTGCTCAAGTATGTTGGTTCAAATGTAAAACGAATGAAAATGAGTATTAGCTGTTAGCGTCATCAAGATTCGACTTCAGTTGACCCAAAATTATTTTATTATCTACTTTGTGATAATGAAGGACATCCTAAAATACCAGGTAGAGAACAAACCTCTGGTCTTCGGAATATATGAGATTAAATCAAGGAAATATTACGAATACGAAAAGATCTTTTTTTGTTGTCATGATTAATTATAATTTTCTAAAAATGACTTGTTTCATATTCTATGTAACCAGATAGCAATGTTTTAAAATTGATAGTAGTCACGCAAAAGAAATTCTACATGACATTTGTATAGTTTGTTATCTTTTCTCTTGATTATCTGATTTAGTGTCATTCGTTCATCTTGGATTGAAATATTTGTCAATTACAGAGATTCCTGAAATATGTAACTTTCATGGCGACTCACATAGGAATTCCAGGAGGACTTCATTGAAAAGAGTTGACTACGACTTCTTTAGCAAAAATAATTAGCTTTTACGATGACTTTAAGATTACTAAAAATTTCTATTGATGCTTCAAAAGTTGAATTTTTTCGAAAGCAAACGTCGATAAAAGAAAAACAGTTTCTGGCGATCCTCGTCGATATTTGATTTTCATGATCAAATATTCGATCTTTTTTGGAGTTAGACTATTAAATAAAATCAGTCTTTTACAAGTATAAGCAATACTATAAAGAATCTCTAATACCTAGAGTATATATATATGTCATGAATTAAATTGAGAATTAAAAGATATTTCTAGAAGAAATTTTGCACAAACTCCCCAGTCGAAAAATTCAGTGACCCGGAATCTCATCCGAATTTTATCGGCTGTTGTCGAAATCTGACGAAAACCGATAAAATATAGTCAGAACTTAGTCGTATCTAGTCGGATTTAATATCGAAATCCAGGTCACTTCCGATAGAATTCTGTCGGTTTTAAAACAATCCGACAGAATCCGATGGCTCAGTTTCGTCCTGGACTGCAAAATGAATTCAAGCTTCCCGGATCGAATCATATGTATAGGACTAGAAATGACTACAACTAAGTTTGTAGATGACGTACGCATCCGAAAAAGCCTATAAAAGTATTTGTCACGATTTTCATAAAATAAAAAATTTGAAAATCGTTAATTATTCTGTTCCTTTTCAATGAGAAAAAAATATGATCGCTTCATTACTATAAAAAATTGAGATAAGTATATTGATCCAAATCAAAAACTAAATAAATGCAATTTCATTATGATTGTGTAATTACTACCCGTCTTGAAAGAAAAAAAGAAACCCTAGAAATGACTCATTTAATTTGTACATATTAGTAACACTAGTAGATGAACGTCGAGAATAGAAAACAAATGGGTTCATTATGGAACAAGATTGTATGCTTATTTCAAGAAAAGGAGGAGATACGTATACTTATAGATGGTCTTGATTCAGCTGGTAATTTTTGTCATCTGTTTCGGATATTAATTATTTATCTCTCATGATTATGTATTTATACTTGTTTAGGTAAAACAACCGTTCTTTATGTTATGAAGTTTGGCGAAGACGTACAAACGATTTCAACGCCTGATTTCAACATTGAGACAATAGAATTTCGAAATTTCAATATAACCGCTTGGGATATTGTTGGTCGTGAAAGAATTAGACCTCTATGGAAGAATCGTTTTAAAAATATATCCGCTATTGTTTTCGTCATTGATTCAACAGACCGAGAACGTTTAAAACAAATGTACGATGCACTTTACAAAATAGTTAATGACGATGAACTCAACTATCAACCTATCCTTATTCTAGCCAATAAACAAGATCTGTCAAATGCAATGAGAATAAATGAACTGTGTGATAAACTTTCTATGGATAAAATCGGTTTAAACAGGAAGTGGCATATACAAGAAACAATAGCTACTAAAAGTCAAGGTCTTCATCAAGGATTCAAGTGGTTGATGGATCAATTGGCTAATAAAAAAGTCAATGTTTCGAATCCAATCACTGAAGCAATTAATGATTCAAAAGTAATAGCAAAACGTTTTCTCTCCATATTCAATTCAATCAATGTGAAATCTATATTTCAATCTACAATATAAGCTCCAAGAATGACTCATGTGAAGTATACAATGACTTCACAATTCAAAAATAGCAAAGACACTCTTTGACAAATGGGTTTCTATTTCAAAAAACAAAAATCTTGATTCTCTATCTAGAGAAAGACTTTTAAAAATTATTTTTCATTTCTGTACAAAAACAGATTTAAAACTTTTAACCAGTGTTACAAGATATTTCGAGTTATTCACTTTATAATCTTATACTATAACTTCTCGTTGATTTATTCAAACAAAAGCAATATGTAAATGGTTTTCGATCACTAAAAAAATAGCTTTCTCTTTTCTTTGGTCTACATATTCATTGATATCAAGTCAACGGTGACCTTAAGTATGTCATCACAAAGGTAATGGTCACTGCTTCTAAGAATGCTGGGGAATAATTACACTATCTACTTCACATCAAAAATTTCACACTTTTCGACGTCTTTTAATTGATCAATCCTGATAAAAGCTTATCTTTACGACAGTTATCTACAATAATAGTTTGGATGAAAAGTTCAATAAGATGTGTGATATTACGATAGTATTTTTTTCAATGACTAAGCTTTTAGTTTTAGAGAAATGAAATCGAACTTTATATATGTATGTATAACTTGTGGATTACACACCGTTATTAGTAGTTGCATATTTTAATTGATCTATGCGCATACTTTTACATTCGAAATCGTTTACATAGAAAACTTCTCAAATCTAAGGATTAACATATAGGTAGATGATGGTGTCAGTGTGGGTTAGACATCGACGTAACCAACAATTTTTGGTCACGATCACACCACGGTCACACGTTCTTGACGTAATCGTGATCGTAACCGTGAGTTACGAAAATTTAACTGTTTGTATAACTGTGATACCTTGCCTATTGCATATGAATTATACAGATAGGGCTGTTCTATGCTACTAATCATGGGTTTAGAAGGAAAGCAATAAGGCAGTCGCCTATCCTCCTTTCGAGACCAATATTTCTGCTTTTGCCTAAAAACAAACGCACGAAAAATGAGTTGATCATACTGTGAATGATCCTTAAAAAGCGATTTTTTACTCAGAATCGCTCTTCACTTTGAAAATTCTAGATGAGTGCGGGTATGGGTATGTGGTTGGGTGTGACTGTGGATGTGTACCTGTACTTTGTAGACGCCGACACCCACACTCTTTAGTCACATCTACACTGGAACCCATACCCACACCCACTCTTCAAGAGCACATCGGAACTAATGTGATCTTAATGCTATTGGTAAATTCAAAAAAGATTTTTGCAGCCTACTATTAAAATACTCAGTTGATTGTTTAAAAAATTAATGCAGATTATCATAATGTTCCTATATATCCCAACCGTGACTGCTGTAAAAATCGAATATCTACCTCTAGACAAGCCAATGATCGCTAAGATTTTAACCGTGTTAGTTTAGCGGTGAGAGCTTTCTTTTGATGAAAAAATATCTGATCTTTTCAACTGACACAAGCACCCTCATTGTCAGTAACGCAAAATTTCAAATTTATTTCAAAAAATAAAAGCAAACGAGTAATCAAGTGTACGAATCATTCAGTCATCATCATCGTCTTGTTCGGCTTCCTTTTTCATCTGCCGATGTTGTTTCCTATAACTGCTCTCGGTTGTTATTAACGATTGAATATCATCTTCTGTAATGGAATCAACAAACCATTTGAAAGCTATCTCATAAAAGGGTTTATGATCAGCGGATTGATCGTCGTCAATTTCATCTTTGACATACACTTCACATAGCCAGGTGGATGGTTTTGTACGATGTGGTTTAATGCATAAATCATCGAATTTCTTACAGGTACAGTATCTCACGATAAATAGTAAAATACGTGCAAGTGTTTTCAATTGAAGATTAAGAATTTCATAATCAGAGAATAACTCGTATAACATTTCCTGCTGATTAAGCTTTGCCCGGGTTTTCAAAGTGGGGATTTCTCCCACGGCCAAACCTTAAATTGACATATTAGATGAAACTAGTCAAGTTCAGCAAGAATCAGCTTACCGATGAGCATATTTGTGATGAGAATAGTGAGAATAATTTCGGTAAGAATAAAAACGAAATAAATAACCGGATAGTACAGAACACCGGTTGGTGGTGTGTAAAGTCGACTCTCATATCCTAAATCGAATAGACTGAATACTGTGCGAAACATCGCTTCAAATGGTGTTGCATAGACAAGCTGATATTGAAGGATCATAAAATAGGTGAAGCCAAAACCACAGAAAAGCACCATTAAAAGTGGTATCGCTCGAAGAAATTTGAAAAAGATAACCTCGAGCATGACAATGTACAGGCCGATATCCCTCCAGGGAATATAGCGCATATACGCGAGCAATGACAACCAGGCGAACAGAAGACCAATTGAACCCTACAATATAGGAACGAATAGAAATAGTATTGATCTTGGAAGCGAGTATACACGACTTCAACAAACAAGTATCTAATCAAATAAATCTGCTGGAAGCAAAATCTAAGCTTAGACGATGCAACAGTTTATGCTTTAGGTTGACTGCAAATGTGGTATCTTGTCAAATACAAGTAGCGATGGATGTTGAAATATAATGCGAGACAATTTGAACCATCCTCCGTAGTCCATAGCAAAAATTCTCACATGCTAATATCACCTTTTGAACCGCATAGTAATTAATTCTCAATTATTTTTAGCGTGGTAGATCGTGACGAGGAGACAAGGCATTTTAGATCTTGTACTAAGACCTTTATATATTAAGTATTTAAAAAAAAATCAAATATTCATATGAATTAATAGCTTAAAATATAAACGTCGTTGATAAAAAATGAAAAAAGAAGCATGTCGCTATGACTAACAATCTCTGTAAATCTTTTAAAGATTTTCAACATTCTGAATTTCCTACTTGATGCGCACTGTCATAGACGTAGCTAGGTTTCTTCGCCTAGAAAAAGTGGCTCCTTCATATTGTACATCTTAGTCGTGTAGAAATAATGATATTATGAATGACATCAATTTCTTGAGTAGGTGTGATGTTCTGTGCACATTAGCCATGTATGCCATTTAATTTACCAGTAAGTACGAATCACATCTATTTTTGAAGTTCATTCATAGAAAACTATTCTATTAGAATTTCAATTGGTTAATGATAGAGTACTTACTAGTTGCCATTGAATCGGACATCGAAAATTAAGTGATGTCTGCCAGGACTTGTCTTCTTTGATGTACAAAAATACTAATATTAAAGTGAGACCTTCCATATAATACGCCGTTTTACGGAGAAAGCGTGGAAATGAAGCGAGTATAAAAAGACTATTTTTAATAAGAAATGCTATTAATAAAGCATTGAGTGTTCCAATGAACCATTGTTGTTTAGTAGTTTTACGTGCATCTGTATTATTTGACTGAACTAAAAATGTTCCAACTTGTTGACACAAATCACTACTAAATCCATAATCCCAATTGATCAGTTGACCTGAAGTATTTCCAGATGAATTATAAAGACTATAATAATATTGTGGGTGCTTTGTTTCGAGAACAACCGTTGTAAAGAATGCCATAAAAAAGATATAGCTGAGAAAAACCAAAGTAAGTAGCCATACACTAAAGCGACGATATTTAGTTTTACGTAGTTTTACGCATAAGGGATGAGCCATAAGATGCACCTGTTTACATTGGGACATAAGTAATAGTGGATGATTGCGAAGGAGCTTGTATGCAACGGGTGTGTATGTCTGACGACCACCAGGTATATTGAATTTCTCTAATATATAGGCTCCTGATTTCATCAACCACGATTGCGAATTATTGCCTTGCTGACCTGAAAAAGAAGAAAAGCGGAACATCTCCTCTTTGAATGGCAAATAAGTATATCAAGTTTTATCAATTATATGATGAACAGGCCGCAATAGACAAGACCGTAACCGAAGAGATAAATTAACCAGATTTTGAAAGTAGAAATCTTACGCTGTCGTTCTATAACAAAAAACTTTGCTCTAACCAGAGGTATGAACGAACCGACATGAGTGCAATTCTACTCGATTTTAGTCTTTATTTGTGCAGTTTTCTTGTTCGACTTCAAAGCAAACTCTGTTCTTGTGAGCTTCGTAGCTGAACAATTCGGTCTGCTATGAGAAAGAAGAATATTTTACACGAAAAGTCAGATTTTTCTCTAGTTTATGAACAATATTTTCTTTCATTTGAAAAAAAATGTTTTACCGTTTTGGATAGTTTTGATTTCAAATGCAGTCTTAAAGTTAGAAGTTTTCTTTAGCTTATCTGATAATAACCAATATTGTGCATGCTATTCACTAAAACGAGAAGTAACGACCACATATAAACTTTTCCTCATGTTGAGTTGCGTGAAAATTTTGATACATATACAATATCACATACTAACTAGTTCAATTACTCAGTGGAGATTATCTCTAATACTGGTAACTATTTCTTGAAATCGAAGCTAAGTAACTAGGAGTAGTTTCTAGAAACACTAATTCAATAACTACGGTAGAAAATCGAAACCCAAAAAGTGAAGTATGGAACATCTACAATGAAAAAGAGTATATTTACGAAAACTAAATTTGATAGTTGCTGAGAGTGAGGGCGAAGAGGATCCTATCGGCCTAACTAATTCACATAATCTCATCCTTTAGTGAAGAAAAGTCAGATGGAACTAGATTCTAAATCTTGAAGAGAAGTTTGAGATGATATAAGATTGATGGCGTGTTGTTTTACATCTCTCGCTCTCAGGAATAATAGCCCACTGGTTTTTCTATTTTTTTTTGAAAATTATAAGTTTGAAGATGGGCTTCTATAGCCATCTAGTTTCTTCATCTCCCACTAGAAAATGTAGAATATTATTCCAATGAAAAATTACACTAACATTATAGAAACAAGTATTAAGAGAGGGTCCATGAGACTATCAAGGATCATACCAGATATCGAAGCACTCGTCAAAATTTTATTTTTTGATTTGATACTCTCATCTTAATCAGCATCATCTAAAACCTATAAATCCAAATTTTTAGCGCATTTGGTTGAGTTGGTGAAAAGTTAGCCGCATTCAACTTTTCAGCGCTGATGAACCATTTCGAAAAATATGATAAAAAATCATCATTATAAAGTTGAGTAATTTTTAAAGACAAAAAATTAACAAAATGTTTAGTGTAATATATCAGAAGATAGAGTGTGGAAAGCTGAAAAAAATGAGCTATTTACATATTATTTTTCAATTGACAAAATTCATTTCATTAGTTAAATACTGTGCATGACTGCTTATTTTTTGAGTAAAAAGTATGTCAATCTTGTTCATTATTTCAGTTGCCGTCCAGTCATTTTATGAGACCCCAGGCTGGTTTTCGGATATGTTGTACAGCTTTTTTCCCTCTACAAAATTATTTAAAAAAAGTTAAAAAAAAACGTTTACTAGGGGTGAAAGGACGCTCACAATGTTGGCCAGTTTTATAGTATTTATAGTGAAAATTTACTATGGATTATTTTACATTAAAAAAAATAATACTTTCATTAGGCTAGTCACTACGCTGAGTATTTCAAATATCGTCACAAATTTTATTCAGTACATATACGCTCTACAAAGGTTGAAAAATAGGTATATGGTGCCTATCGTTGAAGTAAATTTATAGTTTGCTCTTGTGGTCTTTTATAATCATGCTAAACAAAGAATAGTATTAGTGTCGATCAAATAACACATGATTAGCTCGAGAAGAGACAGAAGAAACTGGTTAGATTTTGAACCTTATTACGTTAATTCTATGTATTACAGCATTTATGTTTATTTTCTCGTCTCTTTTCGATTGGAATAGATCATCTAATCACATGTTTAACATCGATATGTTTGGGTAATATTTATACTGTACAACTAAATAAATTAGTTATTCACATAATCATAGAAGATTGAAATTAATTATCGTTTCATTGGATTTCTTTTAATGTCCTGTGAGACCACTTAATCAATTACAATGTGATTACGATAAACCATTACTGCCTGAGATAGGGTTTTTTTGCAAAATTCAGTTGATTGATCATCTCCGAATTAGTCGACAAATCAGTCAATAATACAGACCTCTTTAAAAAAGTTTCATCATGTAGGGAGAAATCATGTGACTTAATCGATCATGAGGTCGAGAGAAAAATCAAAATTCAAAATGTAGAAATACTTTAAAATATTTTCCTTTTTTTTTTACACTTTTTTCATTATGGGGAGCTTACAGCTATGCAATATTGTCTTTTTTATAAATTGTTAGAGTTTTAATAAAGTTTATTTTTTTAGAACGATGCGGAATAAAAAAAATGTTTTTATCTGTTCGCCGCTTTCCAGGCGGCACCGAACGCAACTCCAAAATTTTTTGCATGTAGTTCAGAAATTTTTATCTGTTTATGAAAATTTTCACGTTTGTGTTGTTTCTTCTTGTCATTTGATGGTGGACGTTTTTTCTTTTGAACAAAACGAGAAGATACATTACGTTTAGTTCGATTATTATAATGTATTTTCTCTCAAAATATTTATCATTCCAATATATATATTTTTTTTTCATCTATTGTATGACATGCAGGGGCGTAACTAGGGGGAGGGGGGCGCGTGGGGCGTAACGCCCCCTCCCCCGCTTCCGAAAATTAATGGGAAAAAAGAGGTTTACGCCCCTCTGCTTTTCAAAATTTTGGTTTTTTTTGGTGTGGAAATAGGGTTGCGCCCCCTCCCCCTCCCCTCCCCGGGCTTGGTAGCGGTCGGTAGTTTTCATGAAACATGGAAGATCTTGAAAGCTACCCTCCCCTCCCCCCTTAGTGGAGGTCGGTAGGTTCCATGAAACATACAAGATCTTCAA